CCCCCCCTCCCACCCCCAGCTCTGGCAGGGCCAGGCTCAAGCCAGAGATCTTTCTTCTCGCCTTAGCTTACTTACAGAGCATCTCAGCTTCTCCCCCTCGACAATACCCCTAGCCCTGGGGCAGGGACTTACCCGAAGGGCTGAGCTGCACCATAGCCCCCTTCTCCCCCTTGCAGTGGTGGTAGAGTTACAGAACCAGGGGGGGCTCTGCATGTCCATTAGCAGAAAACTTAAGCTCTAAGGGGCTGTTGGTAACAAAGCTGACGTCCCCAGGCAGGCAGGACCTGACCTGTCCCCCTCCCAGAGGGTCCCTCCACAGCATGCCCAGAACAGGAAGCCAATGGATAGGTCAGCACACGGGGTTGCCTACCCGTGTGGGGTGTACCTGCCTCCCTCCCTGGCATGCTGCCTGCTTTACCTGGGAGCACGCTGTTGGCCTTCTGCTTTTGCACCTTGTCCTTGTCCTTCCTGGGCTTGGGGATGTTGAGGCGAAGCTTGAAGCTGCCCTTGTTGGCGCTACCCGTGCTTTCCTGAGAGAAGTCAGGCTGAGCAAGATGCTACAGCCCCTGGGGCCACCCTATGGGCTATGCCCCACCCCATCCCTGTGCACCCACCTCCTCAGCAGGGTGGGCAATGGGCCCCAGCCAGTGGATGTCCAGCAGCCTCTGCAGCTCCTGGCCCAGCACGCTCAGTGGCCCATGCAGTGCCTCCTCCTCCTGGGGCGAGTCCAGCTGTGGAGGACAGGGACCATACCCAGCCCTACTGCCACCCGCAGAGGTGCTGGCCAAGGGCAAGGGCCCCTCCACTGGGAGGCTCAGGATGTTCTCCAGCCCCCTACTCACCGCCTTCCCTTCCAGGAACGCCCTGGTCTCAGCATACAGCTCCTTGATGCTCAGCACCACCTCCACTTGAGAAACTGGGGGGGCATGGAGGGGTAAGCCCTTGAGCAGCAGGGCGCCAGGGTGGCCGTGTGAAGGTTGCCTTGCACCCCTAGCCCTAGCTCACCTCTGAGGTGCCAGCAGCTTTGTTGGAGAGGGCTTCGCTCAGTGCCAGGGAGCTGGTGTTGACAGCATGTGCCAGCTCCTGCTCCATGGCTTTGTGAGCCTTGGCTGCCTCGTGGATCCTGTGGATGAGAGGCGGTGGAGCTGCTGGGGCTCCCTCGGGCTGGACGGGCAGCACGGGACTAGGAGATCCCTGTAGCTCTGGGTGGCTGCAGTGAAGCTCCCCACCCTGTGCTCACCATATCCCCCATCCCACAGCCTGACCTGGCGATGAGGGTCTCGGCGACTCGCGAGACCTGCTGCAAGAGGCTGCTCTCCTCCTCAGTCAGGTACTCCATGGACTGCTGGGAGCTGAGCCGGGGCCGGGCAGCCGCTCGGTAGCTCTCCCCCTTCTGCTTGTCCTCCCAGGACTTGAGGGTGCTTTCAAATGCCTGCAGGGGATGGAGATGGCCACCCTCAGCCTGTCACACCTCCCTGTGCCCCCAGCACAGCCCCGCTGTGGGGGCTGTGCAACCCTGAGCTCACCCGGTCCCTTGTCAGCATCTGGGCTCGGTTCTTGTGCTGGATCTTGATGATGGTAGCTCTCCCCCTTCTGCTTGTCCTCCCAGGACTTGAGGGTGCTTTCAAATGCCTGCAGGGGATGGAGATGGCCACCCTCAGCCTGTCACACCTCCCTGTGCCCCCAGCACAGCCCCGCTGTGGGGGCTGTGCAACCCGGAGCTCACCCGGTCCCTTGTCAGCATCTGGGCTCGGTTCTTGTGCTGGATCTTGATGATGCCGGGTGGCTGGATCCAGGCTTCTCCATCCACCTGCACGGGGACGCCCTCATCCCCCCGGATGGTGATCTTCACCACACGGCACTGTGGGGCGGGCAGCCCAGGGTTGGCATTGCAGCTCCGACTGTGCCACTGGCTTCAGCTGCTGTGCCAGGGCTGAAAAGCCTCCCAGCGCCATGCCAGTGCCATCCAGGAGCTCAGCTGAGCCGCACTGCCCCAGGCCCTGCTGGTGCCCCAAAAGATTTCCAGCACCACACAGGGTCCCACAGGGTCCCTTGCCCCTACCTGCGCAATGCGGTGGTGCTGGAGGTTGATGACCCGTGACACTGCCATCTGGATGCTGCCAAAGACAGCCACCACTTCCAGCTTCTTGTCATCAAAGGATGGAGCCCCAAAGTTCTGTAGGGGACCAGTACAAGTGAGACCGCCAAACTGGGCTCATTTTGGGACCCAGCATTTCCCTCCATGTGTGCCCAAAGCAGGGACACCCTAGACCCCTGCCCAAGGGCTCCCAGGTTCCCTGGGACCACAGGAAGGAGGCCGTGCCCCCCTCCCCACCCCACCCCATGGTGCTGGCACTCACATTGTCCTCCTTGGTGCCTCCCCAGAAGTTGATGCCCCCAGCGTAGCTGGGGATGTTGAGGACAGCGATGCCCTGGAGGCTGGGCAGCGAGATGGGCACCCCATCGCACTGCAAGAGAGGGCTCAGACTGGGGGGCCGCTGCACCACTGCTCCCCACCCTATCCCTGTTCCCCTTGGTCTTGTACCTCCAGCTGCACCCGCTGCTCCAGGTTCTTGTAGGTGCGCTGCAGGAGCTCCTTTGTGCCCAGCACCCCGTACCACATCATGTTCTTGGTGCGGCTACTGCAGGGCAAAGCAGAATAGGTGAGAAGGGCTGAGGGCTCCCCCTTGCCGGCTGCAGGCTCTGCGCCCTCCCTGGGGCATGGGGCTGAACCAGCAGCCTCCCTGCTCCCCCTGCCTCAGTTTCCCCACTCCAGAATGGGGGAGCTGCCTGCTGCCTCCTGGGAGATGCAGGCTGCAGCATGTGGCACTCAGACATGCACCCTTCATACCAGCATGCCAATGTCTCCTCTATCCAGGTGCAAAGTGGGTAAATCCCACCAAGTCCTCCTGTGCCCATTCACACACCTGGGGGCCATCAGCAGCCAGAGCCTCGTAGCAGCCCTCCCCCATCCTGGGGGTGTTTGCAACCTGCTGCCCACCCAGGGGTGCTTACCCCAGCACTGCAGCACTGGGTGCAGGTGGCAAACCTGCTGCAGGAAGGGGTCCCCAGCCAGGCACGGCAGCCCCGAGCCAACCCCATGGCTCCTGGCATCTGACAGTCCCTCCTGGTGCGTGCACCAGAGAGCTGGGTGGGGTACATGTTTTTCACAGGGGAATCTGTGTTTCAGCCAACCTGCACTTCTTGGGGTGCTCATCCCGTTTGTTGTTGAACTCCAGGGAGATCTTCGCATCCAGGCCAATGCCAAAGTAGTTATTCATGACGCATTTCTCTGAGAAGTGGCTGAAAGCAGCGGACAGGGCAGGGGGGTTGGGAGGCAGCTGCACATGGGCAACCGTTGGGCTGGCACCAGGGGACAGGGAATAAAACCCGCCAGAGCTGTGGTGTGAGCTCCCAGAGGGGTGGGCACTGGGAAGCCTGACCTAAGCCAGCAGCAATGGCTGGAGCCCCCTCGGTCCCCATGGTGGGACACCTCTGGCACACCCAGGACCTGTCTGCTCTGGGCTGGGGCAGGGGGGGCCCTGAGCCCCCAGCATGAGCACGGTGCTGGCCAAGGAACTGGCAGCAACAGGCACCAGGCATATGCAGACTTCCCCGGCGCAGGCACTGCCAGGGCAGGGAGGGCTGAGCACCAGGGATGCCACTCTGGTGGGCAGAGGATGTCTCTCAGCGGCCATCTCCAAGAGGCATCATGGTCCCAGCATTGCTCCCGCTCTGTGATGGGCAGCAAGGGTGGGCCAGGGTCCCCGGGGCAGGCAGGACGCCAGACTCACAGGGCGCTGGGATCTTCAGGGAACTGCAAGCTGCCAAAGGTGTCCGGCCGGTCCAGGACGATGGAGGAAGACGCGGAGGTCACTGTCTCCTGCCGGGAGCCTGGCCGGGGGGCAGAGGAGGCAGCTGCAGAACTGGCTCTTACCCTGAGCCCATCCCATGGCTCACCCCCATGCTCCTCCAAAATACCACATGCCCCACTGGCATCTTACTGAGCCTCTCCTCTTCCTTGTTGAGCTCCTCCAAACTGTCCTTGCTCGGGCCCACACTGCCCCGGTAGGCTTGGGTCTGCTTGTTCTGCTCATCCACAGCTGGGTGCAAAGAGGGGCATGACAGCAAGTCTGGGCAGCCCCATGGCCTTGTGCACCCTCCCCGGGTCAGCCTTGTGGGCTCATGCCAGGCAGAGCCCAGGGTGGCACCTCTGCCCCACGCTGGGGACCTCCCTCAGCCACGCCAAGCATCAGAGAAGGGCTGATGCCCTTGGATTGCACAGCACTGCTGCCACCCCAATAATTCAGATGGTGGAACCAAGGCACAGGTCCAGCACCAACCTGCTGGTGGCTCCGCAGCCCGTGCCAGACTGCTGCAGTGCCACACGAGCTGTCAGACCCCACCACCCCCTCACCTTTCTCCGCCTGCTCAATGATTTGCCGCAGGGCTTTCTTCAGGCTGTTTGCCCGCAGCATGAGCTGCTCCTTGGATTTGAAGATTCGAGGCACGGGGCTGGGGTTGAAGCTGCCACCTTTCTCCTGGTCCTTGGCGTCGGCAGGGGTGGCCTGCGCCATTCCCTCGGGGACCACGATGGCCTGAGCCTCCTCGGTCAGCTCCCTCACCAGCGAGTCCAGCTTCTCGTTCAGCATGGCACACTGCAGGACGCCCACCACGCTCAGCACTCTGGTGTAAGCTGTTGCCCCTGGGCACCTCTAGCACCTGGGCATCCCAAGCATGAGAGCACCCCATCTTTGCCTAGGCAGCCCATGCTTGCCGGGGCATCCCCAGAGTCTGCACACCCCATGCTTGCCTGGGCACCCTAAGCACCTGGGTACCCCCAAGCACCCCATGTTTGCCTGAGTGCCTGGGCACGCCATACTTGCTGGGGCATGCTGTGTGCCTTAGCACACCCTGATGCATACACAGCAAGTGCACGGGCCACCAGAGCAGAGCCTCCCCAGCCCCTCCACTGCCTGGGAGCTGTGCCACCCAATACACCCCAGCCCTCCAGCTCTCCTACAACCCACCTTCCGTGCCATCAGCTCAGCCTCCTGCTTGTTCTCCGTTGCCCTCTTGTAAGCCCGGCCGACTTCAGCCACAAAGTCATTGACGGTGCCGCAGAGGAACCTGCCGAGGGAAGCAGCAGGCAGGTGGAGAGGGGCACAGCATGGCCAGCTGGGCAGAGATGCCAGCCAGGGTGGGGGCTGCTGGGATAACACCCCCTGCACCGGAGGAGCAGTGCTGG